GCGTGTCGCCCTGGGCTCGCGTAGCGTCGGGGTGGCCTTGCTCGCGTCGTGCCTGGCGAGCGTGGCGAGAGCGGCCGCCCGGACGCCGCCTGCGCCTGGGCGGCCGGGGCGCGACTCTGTCGTTGGACGGTGGGGTTCGAGGAGTGAGGAGCACCATATCGTACTCATGCCCTAGAGACATGAACTCTAGGCTCCCCAACCAAACTATGGTGCCGAGACGCAATGGTCGTATGTAGTCTGCCATCCGGAACTTGCTAGGATGACGAAGCTGACACGCAGCGTCCCCTACCTGGCGCGCCAACTGTCGGTGTTTTGGAACCGGGGGTCCCTCAACCGACGAGTGAATTTGTGCTGCGTGCCCCTAATCCGGGATGGTGGCGCAAAGAGACACAAGGTTTATCTTGGTTCGAGCAATCGAGGCCCTACGTCCCAATCCGAGAGATCGATCTTGTATTCCTTGCACCGGAGTGCTCGTAGTAGGGGTTACAAGCTAGGTGAGAGAGGAACTAGCCCCGTCTCGGCGAGTGTGGTGCGGGCTGCTTGAGGCGTTGTTCCCAAGCGACATATGAGTCTGCGATGCTATCGGCTTGTCCCTCTTTCTCCCGAAATGGCCCCGATCCCTCCCTTTTATACTCTAAGGGAGGACCGGGACCGTCTGCGAGGATGCTACATAAGCGCTTCAGTAAATGGGGTGGCGTGTCCGAGCCTGTAGTCGGCCACCGTTGTGGTATGGTCGATGGAGTGGCCCGTCCTTGTCGTGCGGAAGTGACATCTTTGGTCGAGACTTCGGTCTTGCGCGTCGTGGGGCTCCAGATGACGCTTGATGCGAGGACATGGCGGGCGACGTCTTTGGTCGCCGTGTAATGACGTCGTAGGGAGCAATGGCTCTGCGAGATGCGAGGCCGAGCCATCGTGGGGGCTCGGTGGTCATGGACCCTCAGTCGCCGAGCCCGTGAAGCAAACTGTCGAGGCCTTGGGGGAGTTATTGGTGTTGACACAAAATGTGACGACCGTGTCGCATACACACAAGCAAGTCGGTGCGTGGCTTCAATCGGGTGCCCGGGTGCTTCGTGATCCGGAACGCGTGCGGTCGGTTTGACCTCGAAAAAAACCGACAAGGATATAAAATAAGTTAAATGTCAAACCGGAACATGTCGGGTGAGACCGAGCGATTCCGTATATACGACCCTGAAGCCACTTACAACGCGACATACAGCTATAGGAAGGCGTCTGCGCCAACAAGTTTATAAATCATTCGACTAATCGTAGGATGGACATACGTAAAGATCTCGATTGCCGAATGCATATGCATGGGAAGACATGTTTGAACAAGTGAAATTGATTATGCGTTAATGCATATCCAAGCTCAACAATCCAAATAGAGTTGGGGTCCATGAAGAAGGAACGTAGATAAACACGATTAAGCCAATCTAAAACACATGGTATGCACATACGACACCTAGTTTCGTCAAAAACTTAAACGTGATTAACATACATGAACCCACAACATGTGACAATCTAGATTAAAATAATTCAGCCATTACGAGCATGTTATCTATTTGCAAAGGTATTATGAAAGTAATGATCATTGAAGCTCGAATAAAACCATAGAAGAGGGCCCGAACAATATCAATCTAGATTGGGCAAAAGTGTGTTACAAATATATAAAATATTTAAAACATGCAACACAGGATAACTTGATGAATCTATTTAGATTTTGCCGTAATCTAATAGAGCCGATAACTGTCTTGCTTCCACTAAGCATATTGAGCAAACGCCTGCCGCACGGTATCTACTCATAAACAAAGTATAAGCAAAGACTTCTTGATTGTCAAGCAAAGATCCGCCGCACGATCATTGAAAACAAACAAGACTACTTGCATCACGTCTAAATCCACCGCATGATACTAAACATGATAACAAGGTTGTCGGAACTTACGGAGGTCGACGGATCGATGACTCCTCTCGAAGAACTCGACGACACGACAAAAGGACTCGAAAGTTGGCACGGGGCCGGTTGTATTGATTTGGTTGTGAACGCCTATTACAATGGTCGAGGGTCAATATTTATACCCTAGACGAAACACGAGTCCTAAAAGACTACGATTTACAAAGGAACTCTTAAACAAACTTGGAAACTACGATTCCTTGCCCCAAACTCTCAGAGTCCTTTATTATTACAACTTTCATCTTTTCGATCGGCTTTGCTTGCCATCTTCTGCTTTCCCGAATGGAGTCACCACCTTCTGAAGTAACCGACCGCACAAGCATTTAGCCGACCGCTCGTTTTGTTTGCCGAATGTCCTTCTTCCCACATGCGGGCCCACCTTGACTAGCCGATCTTGGAAATCTTCCCCACAGTGGCCTGGTAACATGTACGTATATATTTGCTTGGACGCATCTTTATTGGCTTGCATCTTCACTAATCACTACGTCGGCAACCAGGGATCGTATTATTTCCTTCATGCATGGACTCTTTCTTTAATCAAGAAGCTTCACATCTCCATCCAAAGATATATTTGATTTATTTCCTTATGCAGCCCGGCCAAACAACTATTAAAATATCCCTTCCTCGTTAACTGATCTTAATCTTGCTGGCATCCATGTCAAGCATAGCTCGTATAGCACTTGGCCTCTCATCCTTTTCCATTTGCCTTGCCGGTTGCCCAATAATGCATCACGTATATGTAACAAACAAGATGGTAGGCACATCAGAACTGCCAGCTGTTTGACCTTTTGCTGCTCCCCATTAATTTCTGAGCATGAATGACTCCATCGTATATATCTCATCGGCTTTCGAGTCATGGTCATTATCGGAGATTTTCTTCTTTTTACGTTACCAGCCGCTTTCTTCCCATTTACCAAATTTTGATGTCAACAATTGGCCCTGGGTACTGATTCCGAGGCCACAGTAGCTCAGACGTGGCTCCCCATGCTGCGTTGTCCTTGGAGCAGGAGTTGGCAGCACAGTGAGGCATGGGCGTCAACCACGTGCACGGGGGTTAGTACAGCGGCGGGTAACCCCTGTGCAGTCCTGTCTCCTGTCCCATCGGCCATTCTGCTGTACTGTGCCGGTCATGCGGCTGTTGTCAGGGGCAGCAGTTGGCTGAGTTGACGCGACACGACGTTTTGCCAGAAGGACGGGAGAAGGAAGAGGTAGCGGCGTGCTGCCGAGCCTGCCTTGCGCGAGACGGAGGGTCGGTGGCCTCGGCCGAGGCCTTTGGCGGGGGATCGACCGAGGCCCGTGGTGAGGGGGCCTCGGGCGAATCGGAGAATCGGCCGAGGCCAGCAGCGTTTAGCTGGGTTCGATCTTTACGAAATCTAAGCCGTCATTTTTTGGATTTTGCTTGGGGTACCCCTTCTCACGGTACCCGACACACGGCGACGAGCGTGGCTCGGCTATCTCCCCGCGTGCCGGAGAGGCAGCGACGGAGCTTCTTCCCGCGCGACGGTGGTGGTGACGGCGGTGAGACAAACCGGGTAGGTCTCTCCCCATTCCATCCATTCTTTCTAGGGTTAGGGTTAGGGTTTCGGGTGGGGTTTCAATCCGATTCGAATCGAGTCCCCTCCTTCTGTTTTCTTCATGATTTCTACCCCAAAGACTAGATCTACATCTAGACCAGGCGACTGATGCCATTAATAGAAGTTTAGGATCACCTAGTTGTAGATCTAGCAGGTGTATACTTGAATTTAGAACATGGCAAACCCTAGAACATAAGCTAAAGCGAGAAACAGAGAGAGAGGGAGGGTGCGGAGATGCAAACCATCGGCCGCCTTCGAGGAAGACGAGCTGGCCATGGCGGTGCTTGTCGGTGACGCGGTGAAGTTCGGCGGTGAAGACGCGGTCGCAGTGGCGGCGGTGCAGAGGCGGCGGTGGCCGGTGGCGGTGCTTCCCGTCGCTGGCAGCGCCCCCTCTCTAGATCAACTAGGGTTTGGGTTGTAGGTGGGGTGTCTGGCGGCTCAGATGAATCTCGTGCCTTGTGCCCCGGCCTCCACCTTCCTTTTTATGGCTCTGTGCGATGGGGGCCCACCAACCATGGAGCGGTTGGGCGCCCCCGATTAGGGAGTGGATCCAAGGGGCCAATTGACCGTTGGTAGAGATCAATCTAACACGGATTGCCACTACGGGTGCTCTTCCAACTCTGGCAAGATGAAATCTATTGATCTGTGAAATTTGGGAGGGGGGGGTTAGAGGGTTAAGTTCGATGAATTAGGGATTTAGAGGAAAACAGGTGGAGACAGTTGGTGTGTGGGACAATGTTAGTGAGGAGCGTTGGGCGGGGCAGTCGGATGACTAGTGGATGGATTGGGGTAGAGGAGAACTTCATCCAATAGGTTAGTGAGGCAATGAGGAACAATGGTGTATCTGCGCTTAGCGGTTGGAGTTGTGATGTAGATGGGAGAGAAGAACAAGGTTGAGACACGGAGAACCTACTCAGGCGCCATGGCTATATCCGGAGAAGGCGAAAGTATAGAAGAAATTAGGAAAGAAGAAGGCCTTATATGAAATATTTTGGCAAAGATCTAATAATGAGTCATCAGAAACAAAGGTGGAGCAAAATTTGCAGCGACCTACGTGTCTCCGGCCTCACTACCACGGTGAAAATTGAAGACCAGTATTACTCCATCACGAAATTACAAATACATTATGCCACATGTATATTAGATAGATCAGAAATGATCAGCTCCCCCTCCTTCACCAGTACCCACGTCTCAGAACAGCAGGCTGAAAGAATGTATCGATCAGTGCTAGTTGTTACACGTACATACATATATATACATATATTTATACACGTACTCACCACTCTTTTCAATTTGTGTGTTTTAGTGAATCGAATCGAATCGAATTTTCACCGTGCAATACATGCATCGATGCGACGACGTGCACGAGAGATCGAGAACAACTACGTACGACTGTTCAGTTGAGTTGAGTCAGTCAGATCGCCACGCCACGTACAATGTGTTTGTGTGTGTCGGTTTGACGTACGATCGGCGATCGATCACCTCCCCTTCATGTCGGCGAGCTGCTGGAAGAGCTCCCCGGCGGCGGTGGTGGACGCGTCGGGCACGCCGCCGCCCGAGGCGCTGGCCGCGGGGACGACGGCGCCTCCGCCGCCGCCCTCGGCCGCGGCGCCGTCCTCCCCGTCCTGCTGCGCGCCCTCGGGCGGGTTGGCGTCCTGCAGCTGCAGCGCGTACTCGAGGTTCCACAGCACGTCGCCCATGGAGATGCGGTCGCTGCCGAACTCGGCGAGGCACTTCTCGGCGGTCTCGGCGAACTTGGCGAGCGACTCCGGGTTGACGGTGCCGGCGAGCTTGGGGTCCATGATCTTCTCGATGAGGCCCTTGCGCTTCCACTGCATGCCCCACTCCGCCAGGCTGACCTGCTCCCGGGGCAGCTGCGGGTCGATGGGCGGCCGCGCGCACAGCGCCTCCAGCAGCACCACGCCGAAGGAGTAGACGTCCGACTTGTCCGTCAGCTGCTGGCACCGGAAGTACTCCGGGTCCAGGTACCCGAAGCTGCCCTTCACGGCGGTGCTGACGTGGAGCTGGTTCATGCCGGGCCCGTCCTTGGACAGCCCGAAGTCCGACACCTTGGCCACGAAGTTGTCGTCCAGCAGGATGTTGGTGGTCTTGACGTCGCGGTGGATGATCCCCTGCGCCGTGCCCGTGTGCAGGTAGTGCAGGCCCCTGGCGGCGCCGATGCAGATCTCCAGCCGCTGCTTCCACGGCAGCGGCGTCACCCCTTCGTTGCCGTAGATGTGGTCCCGGAACACGCCGTTGTGCATGTACTCGTACACCAGGATCATCTCCTGGTTCTCGTCGCAGTAGCCGATGAGGGACACCAGGTGGCGGTGCCGCAGCTTGGACAGCATCTGGATCTCCGTGTTGAACTCGTTGATGCCCTGCTCCGACTCGGCGCTCCCGCGCTTCACCGCCACCTTGGTGCCGTCGTCGATCTCGCCGACGTACACGTTGCCGAACCCGCCCACGCCGATGATGTTCTTCTCGTCCCAGTTCCCGGTGGCGGCCTGGATCTCGGCGAACGAGAAGAACCGCCCCAGGCCCATGGTGGAGGAGAAGGTGTTGCCGCTCTTGTGGGACCCGTACCCGCCCTTGCCGCTGGCGGTGAAGGACTGGCCCGTGTGGATGGGGAGCAGCCACGACGAGAAGCTCTCCCGCCGCTCCCAGTCCTGCGGCCGCTTGTACCACTTCACCACCATGGCGCCCAGCCCCGCGAACGCGCCGAACATCATGGCGAACCCGACGGCCGCCACCGCCTTGCGCCCGCCGCTCCCGTCGTCGGCCTTCCGCCCGTCCACGCCGAACTCGCCGTCCAGGCTGCCCACGGAGTTGCTCATCTTGAGCACCTCCATGCCGTTGAGCAGCGCGTCGATCCGCCCCGTGTCCTGCCCCATGGGCCCGACCTGAACGCTCAGCTTCCCCTTGCCGTCCGCGCCCTCCAGCGACGACGAGTTCACCACGAAGTCCTTGTAGTAGGGCGCCGCCAGCTCGCCGCCGGTCACCGTGGACAGGTCCAGCCCGGACACGGTCTTGCGCCCGCTGATGTACACGTCGAAGTAGAGGTCGTTGGTGGCCTTGCTCACGATGTCGGCGAAGAAGAGGCGGACCAGGTAGCTGAAGGACGGGTCCACGTCCACCTTCCACGTCAGGTTGAAGTTGGGGCTCCCCACGTCGGCGTCCGCCATCTTGGCGGCGCTCGCGTACACCAGCGTCGGCGCCACCAGCCGGGACGTCCCGTCGGGGAACTTGATGGTGCTGGTGGGCACCGACACGTCCTTCACCGCCTCCTTGGTCTGCACGTACGCCGCGTCGGTCTCCCACCGCCGGCCCAGTGTGTCGTTGGCGGGGCCGATGGCGGGGCCGCCGACGTTGATCCGGTACAGGACCTGGTACGCGTCGTGCACGAGGCCCGTGATCTCGCCCAGCGGCGCGACGGTCAGCGCCGAGTCAGTGATGAGCTCGTCGGGCGCGTTCACCACCTCGATGGCGTTCACGAAGGCGGCGGAGCCCTTGAGCGGCTGGAACTTGAGCGCGAGGTGGTTCTCGGTGGCGTTGATCACGTACTCCTTCATCACCGGCTTGTTCTCCGGGGTAAAGCTGTGCAGCAGGACGTTGTCGTCGGTGACGACGCTGAAGGTGGCCGACGCGAGGTCCACGTCGCCGCCCTTGATCGGGAAGAGGTAGATGCGGATGAAGTGCCACCCCGGCACGGTGAGCGGGAAGCTGTAGACGGCCTCCTCCTTGAAGACCCGCGCGGTGGCGTACAGCGGCGACGGCACGTCGGCCTTGTCGTCGGCGGCGACGCGGATGGCGTCGTTGGCGGAGAGCAGGTGGTTGGCCTGCGCGTCCGTCTTGTACGACTTGCCGTCAGCGGTCACGGGCGCCGTCCCGCCGCAGTCGATCAGGAAGCTGTCCTTGGGCGTGAAGCTGGACGGCGTGGGCGGCGTCTCCGCGCCGCTGTCGGTCACGGGCCGGCCCTGCCCGGACACAGTGGTTGTTGTCGCCACCAGCGCTGCGGCTAGCAGCAGCAGAAGCAGCGCCGGCGGGAGCGTCCCGCGGCGCGTCATGGCTGGTGTGCTACGTGCTCGACCACCACCACCAGCAGCGCTTGCTAGCTAGCTAGTCCAGCGTGCGTGCACGTCACCACCAGCACCGGCACCGGAGGGCGGCAGAGCAGCACCGGACGCCGGCACACACTGCAGGCTCTGACTGGGTGGGGTTCGGTGGGTTATTGACGGTGGCGGGGCCCTCTCACCCTCTCTCTGGTTGGTGGGCCCAATCGGAGGAGAGGGAGGAGGGAGGGGGGTGAAATGGCGGGTTATGTGGTGGCCACCGGCGCGCCAAGTTTAAGCAGTCCGCGCGGCCGCCCGCTATGTTTGGGGTGGTGGCCACTGGCCACAGGCCGGCGACCGGGTCACCGCCGAAACGTGCGTTCCACCGCATTCTCCGGCCCCCCGCTGCCGCTGCGTGCCAGCTCACCTGCACCTGCACCTGCACCTGCACCTGCACCTGCACCTGCACCTGCACCTGTGCGCCAACCTGCCATGTGCATGCTGCCTATTCTTGAGTCGCTGGCGGAAGAGCACACGGCACGACGAGCAGCAACAAGGCGAGCAACGAAGAAGGAGCGGCGGGGCCGGGCTGGCGTCCATGGACGCGGACGAGCAGCAGCACACGACACGGCGAGGAGCAGCAAGGCGAGCAACGGCGAAGGAGCAGCAGGGCCGGGCTGGCATCCATGGACGCGGATGAGCAGCAGCAAGGCGAGCAACGGAGAAGGAGCGGCAGGGCCCGGCTGGCGTCCATGGACGCGGACGAGCAGCAGCAAGGAGAGCAACGGAGAAGGAACGGCGGGGCCGGGCTAGCGTCCATGGACGCGGCTCTGCCGTTCTTGGGAGGTGCGGACGGATCAAGGAGCAAAGTAGCCGCCGCGAGGAGGCCAACCACGGGCGCGGCGCCGCCAGCACGTCTGCTGGAGCTCCGGCGGGCGAGGAAGGCGGTGAGGAGGGGGCTAGGGCGGGGGTCTGCCCGAGCTCCGGCAGCGGAGATGAGCTGTGAGGAGGGGCTAGGGCAGGGGTCTGCTCGGCCGAGCGCCAGCCGCCAGGCTCGTCGGGCGCGCGGGGAGCTCCATCGGAGGGAGGAGGGGCGGTGGCGCGCGAGAGGACGAGGAGCACACGCGCGGAAGGTGACGAGAAGGGAGCACCGGGCTGGCTCCAGTAGAACGGCCGATTTGGTAGTTCAATCCTGGCCAGGCCACAGCAGTACGGATGGTCAACCCTGGCCAGGCTCTAGCCCACTTTCAGATAACTAAACAGACCAAAATTGGCTCTATGAAGCCAGGCTAGGGTTAACCATCCAACCAAACACACCCATAGCTGCTACTCCTAAGTCCTACCTGCCAGCATGCTACTGCTGTAGTAGTACTGCATATTCAGACTAGTCTTTGCAGATCTCAATCTCAAGCATTGTTTGTTGTGCAAGATTTTAATTGTTTTAATATCCCCAGAGCATGCGGGCTTCTCTGATGAAGTACCCGTCCAAACCTCTCGGGTTTCAACTGCCTAGTGACGATTTGTCGGCCAGGCCTTCCGAGCAATGGGAGGTCGGTCAACCATCCCATTGCTCGGAGTATGGACAGAGGCCTAGAGGCTTCGATCAGTACTTAGCGAGGGCGTGAGAGCGCACCCGCTAGGTGTAGTCTCTGAGTCGCTGACCGATTCATAGAATCAGTCAAGGAATTAATTCCGTTGTAAGGGTATTTAGTATCGGGCTCATGTAACCTTGGTGTTTGGTATTTGTCCGTATCTAAATTCGAAATGTAGTTTGTGAGATACTCCCTGCATTCTGAAATGGTTATTGTATTTCATACAAGAAAAAGTCAATTTTACAAACTTTGATCAACAATTATTCAAACTACATACAAGTTTAGGACAAAAAACTTACAACAGTAGATTTGTATTCAAGTACCTCTGGTATGATATTGTTTCTTTGGCAAATAATAACAATCTGTTAGAGAAATCGGTGGTCAAAATCTATTATGCATGACTTTTTGCTTATCAAAATACACTTGCATTTTTTGAAACGGGGGGAATAATATGGTTTAAAGATTGTTAGTCACGGCATACATGCCATCATTATTTGGCACCAAAACAAGGCCAATACATTTGGCGCCTAAGATCTAGCTAGCACAAGCAATGGACAATGGACCATAGGTGACTAGACAAACTTTTTTTGGGGGGACAGAGGGAGTAGCTTCCACAAACCCTAGTCAAATTTTCAAGGAAAGTCAATTTTCTTGACCTACTTCCTCTGTCCGAAAAAGAATGTAAATCTCGTTTTACAATGAGTCAAAGGATCTTAAGTTTGACTAAGTTTATAGAACATATTATCTACATTTAGATTTTCAGTTAAATTTATTATGAAGATACATCATATGACTAATCTAATGATACTTAAACATCAATAGTTTTTTAAATAGATTTGGTCGAAATTAAGAATTTTTTGTCTTCCCGGGATGCGAGATTTGCATTTTTTTTGGAACGGAGGTAGTACTAAATAAAGCCACAAAACATACGTCGGCACAACTAAACTTTGGCCAAACGCAACTTTATCTTGGCACATGCACCAACAAGGCAAAATAACTTTTTTAAGCAAAACTATGCACAAATTTTGGCAGGACTTCTGTGGGTCATAAACCCCCTGCTACCGAGTTGGGCTTGTTGGCCCATTTGGCACCTAGGGTCGCACCTAGGGTCTGCGGTATATATATATATATATATATAATATTCAGTATCCGACCCCTCCAGGTTCTGCCCGCGGTCCACGCGCTCGACCACCAGAAGCGATGTTTTCCCTTTTTTTTTCTTCCGTGCCTATTTCTAGCCGATTTTTTTTTCTTTTTTGTGTGTTTCTGGCCGGTTTTTTTGTGTTCTTGGCCAATTTTGTGTGTGTTTCTGGTTGATTTTTTTTTCTTTCGTTGCCCACTCGGGCCTATGTTTTCGGCGATTTTTTTTGCGTGAGTTTCATATCGATTTTTTTTGTTTCTAGCCGGTTGTCATTTTTTCCTGCTAGGCCTCAAGGGATGCATATATTTGGCCGTTTTTTCCTTTCTATGTACCAGGTTCCTTGTGATGAATTACTTGTCAACAATAATAATTCATTATCTAAACTATAAATATTATTTTAATTTGATTGGTACAAACATATCTTGTCATCGATAATAGTACGTGATGCTAATCACAAATAGTACTATTTGGTTCGTTAATAGTTACAAAGAATCTGTAGGCTGTTTGGGACAACTTGAACCAAAAAAACTACAGCGAAGAGGCAAGAAAGGAGATGGTTTATGAATTCCACAGCTTGATTCTTTCAAAAAAAACACTCCACAGCTTGATCACAATGAGATTTGGATCCCCCCAAGGTGCAGATACACTCTTTGTTTTTTGAAGAACTACAATGATGATGCATAGGCATCAAAGTGCTTCCTTCTGATGAACTGAAATCTGCATCATTGAGGTCTCTTTGGATGTCATTTATAGTTTGCAACAATGCAACACAGCTTTTCTGGATGATGGCCTGTTATCATGGATATTTTCCTATCTGATTATAGGTCCCCATTCACCAAACACTTGGGATGCTGCTAACATTGACCTTCATTTGCATAGCACCCAGACCCAACTTGTTAGACATTATGACAGTTGCTTCTTAAAAAACCTGCAATATAAGATACATGTATAAATTCATGAAGTAATTGATTGCTTGTGCATAGTGGCAGAGCAACTAACGGGAAGTTGTGTATGGTGAAACCGATACAAATGCTCACATTTGGAGTAGTCCTAATAACTTGTTTCTTTAATGTCAGAGAGTGCATACATAAATCAAGATAGATAAATCATAAAATCAATGTCGAATTTTATGCCTGGTGGAGACAGCGATCAGTCCAGACAATGTGCAGAGCACTCCAGCATACCTTGTTCATGCTAACGGCACACTAGTGTTGCTGATCGAGTGCGCATGAGGCCAACATCACCGACTGGTGGAAGAAGGCTAACTAATAAAATTAGAAAAAATATGTAACTGGTGAGAGCTCACATCAGTAGGCAAGGTTAAATAAAAATTCATGCATGGTGGTAAGCTTAGAACCTCAAGGCTCTCAATTTTTTTCTCTGTCCCAATCCAAAGATAGAATATAATATTTTGTTACTGTGACGATTCCCCATTTCTGTACAAGGTTCCTTTGACACAGTTTTATTGCAGTCATAAAGAAACATTTGTTCAACACAAATCCTTCTGACCATAAAAACATCTTAGGTTTTGCAATCATCGTATTCTAAAAAGTAAATACTAGCACCAATTGAGCTTAGCTAGCATATCTTGACTGCACAGATAAGCTCCTAATGTCCAGAATTTATTTTTTGGTTTAAAGAATTATGTATTTAAACTAAATATCTTCGTACAAAATCAGTAAGTGACAAATTATTATGATTTCCTCACATATATACTGACATGACTCTGAAAGTGACCAAAAAATCGTTTGGAATCATAAAACATATGGACATGGTCACATATATTTGTAACTATATATATGTTTAGGCATGTGTCTCGCAACCACAACAGAATCGAGCATGTCATCCACCAAAGACACACTGTCCCCATGTCAGGGAATGAAACAATAGTGTATCTGAAAAAAATTCTGATCGGCCCCTATGAATAAGTTCAGGGATTCCTCCTAAAACAAGATAATATCAATATACATGCTCTGTTTACCATATTCGTATCTTGCATGGCAAAAGGAAAAATGGGGAGTGCAATTATGAAGAGGAAAAGAAGAAAATATAGGCAAGCAGAGAAAACTGAGACAGAATAGCATGGAGCCATGAATACGAGCACAAGCAAAAGATCCTGATCCAATCGGACATGATGGAGAAAACATGACAGAGGGAGGCCATGAATATACATTGGCATGGAGTGGACTAAGCCCAATTCAGTAAACAAGTGGCGGTAGAACTATTCACATGAGTGCAGGATTTTTAGAATTAACCGCAATGAGCAATACTGGCATAAGGTCTAACTAGAAACAGAGTACACGAGGAATAGAACTTACCAAGGTGGCAAGATTGTGGCTTCTCTTGGCACTGCCCTATCGAGATCAGCCAAGGAAATCTATATCTGATAGATGGATTGATGGTCAAGATATTGCACCACAAGTGGGTGCGCTAGTGCCCAAGTGAGATCTGCACAAAAAACTAAGAGAAAGAAAAGAGGATAAATAACAATGATGAAAATATTAGGTCTAACCAGAGAAAGCATAATCAACAATATTGAGCAAGAAATGAACACAACATAGACAATTGGACAAACAAATCCTAAAGTGAATCCCAAGGGGAAATGTAAATCATATACAACTCAACATCTAACTGTTTTCAAAAAATGTCACCGCCTATGACAGTAATGTACCAACAGCATGAAGAATCAAAAGAGAGTGGAGAGAGAACCTTATGTGCTGGAGGAGCTCAAAGAAGACTAGTATGAAGAAATCCTCAGACACACATAATTTTTGTCTCAAAAAAATTTAGCTTCAGGTTAAGGATATTCTAAGACTAAAACTTCAATGAATGCATTCTATATTTTATGTAGAGATGCTAAATCAAGTGAATTCTACTTCAACTATAAGGTGGCACAATGTCTAATTCAATGTTAATCACATTCATCCAACTATTTCAATTGAACCAGAAAAATTTAGCTGGGGCAGAACGTGAACACATAACTAATATTATAAAAAAAATCAAATACGCACATCACATTCTCATTGATATCCCACACGAATGGATAATATATGACAAATTTAATTCTTAAAGAATGAAGATGGTACCTACTATTAAAAAGCGGTCGCCCATAGCAAGCTAGCAGCGCCTTCATATAATTCATTAATTCAACATACACCAATTTGACTAAGATTCAACTACCCAAGAGCTAATAAGCCTGTAATTTTAATCAACAAATCAATTATTGTATGATATTATGTGATAATACATCGACAATGTTTCAACTAGCTGTCGTGAAGCATATGAGCAGAAATACTTTTAGGGACTGATAGATAATTAATTATCCAAGATAGCAGAAATACTTTTAGGGACTGCTAGTAATTAATTTAAGAACTTGAACAACAACCAAGCAGAATCAGATACGATACAATGTGCATCCACCATGAAGTTTCCAGGTTCTGGGAAATTCTAATAATAAAATGCGTATCAAAGTGACAAGATACAGCTATGTACATATTTAAAGATGAGCATATGAGCAGTATACAAATGGTCATACAGGAAGCAAAGTGGCATGCATAATAGGATACAAAAATTTTAGAATACATGAGCATATGAACAACAATGATCAGCTTTGGGATTCAAGAGCATATGAGCATCAGGTGCTCACACATGCAATTGTCAAAAGCATACCACAATGATTAACAGTCAGAAACCTTAAATCTGTAATATCAACAAGTGCATACATAAATCAAGATAGATAAATCATAAAATCAATGCCAAATTTATGACCGGTGAAGACAGTGATAAGTCCAAAAAAGTGTAGAGCATTTTCCAGCATACCTTTTTCATGCTAGCGGTACACCACTGTTGCTGATGGAGTGCAGAAGAAGCAGACGTCTCCTACTGGTGGAAGGCTAACTAAAATGGTAAAAAACAGAAATAACTAGTGTTAATGATTTGGAAGCTACAACAGCCATAAATTAAATGTGTAAAATAAAAAAATTAGCAAGGCTGAAAAAGAAGCCAATTTCCAATGGAAACAAATGCAAAATTTATACTCTTGTAAATCTTCAAGCATAATTAGCCACACAAACAAATCAGTAATAGTAGAAGAAACTACCTATGTGAGTAATCATGGGGAGTAGATGGAGGATGCTTTGATGGCGAGCGCCTAGGATTGCACAAAAAACAAAGAGAGAGAAAAGAGGATAAATAACTTCTCCTGGCCTTCGGACACTGACAAGAAATTTTAAGAAAAAAATCATCGCATAAAGAATAATATATATTCCAATATAGCTTCCCATCTGAGATTATATCCATACAAACATTATTTATAAGCTGAGACTTCACGTGAAAGAAAATTATCATATAAAATTTTCATGATATGACATTTGAATTTTGCATTGTGCAGCTGATTAGGTCTTAGCAACAAACAGTTTAGCTCTTCTGAGATGAAAAAAATACTGATATATTCCTTAAGCTAAGAAGATTCAGTTCAGTTGCAGGGAACTATGGTTAAGAAAAATACTTTATGCTTGTTCACCATAAACTTGATCTAACTAGCACAAGAGGCAATACCTATTGGTTATTGCGCATAATGACACACCACACTGATTAGGTAATATTTCAAATGTGAAAATATATGTTTTACCAAAAATAATTACATGTTACTAGGAATCAAATGCACGATAGGTAAGTGTCTCCTTAGGTGTGATTCATTATTACGACCACTTCAGCAAGCTCATAAGTACATAAGACCGCAAATAAAGTGACAAGATCAAAATAGTCTCATTGATCTATTTCTATACCTGTCATCATAGATCTGAAAAATGCCATATTGTTGCTAAATCTATGTCAAACCAAATAAAGAAACACGTGGCTGGAGCATGATAACAGAGAAAGAATCCATGATCAAACCTCTAAGCTGCTCGCCTCTTCCACTACAGTAGCCTGACACTTGAAAAGCAAGAGCACATTTGATACATTCTGGTTTGGCTGTAGCATGTGTGGACTAGCTAATTAACCTGGAGAACCTTCAAATCAGTTGTGCATGTTCATGGATTGCATGTCGATTCTCCCATGCCCTCCTGCCCTCTTGCATGGGTCCTAACAATGGCAAGCTACATGCGTGTGAGATGGTTTACCTCAGAAAAATCAGAACAAATCTGCCCTCTCCATGTATCAAACGAACCTTCGACAACAAATCATGTGAGGCAATACAGGATTACAGCTGAGGGGGCTGATCTGTCCTGCATCATGGACGTCATCATACATCGTTACAATGAATTGCATGTCTATTGCCTCCCTCCATGGATCCTGCAGACGCCATGCAATTTTCATGTCAGGTTATAATAGGTGAGAAAATCTTAACTCTCCCTCCACGGATCTAGGCAAGATTTAAGAAAAAAATAAAATAAATCATGTAGATATGATACATGCGAGGAGGGGGCTGACCACGCCAAGGTGAGCAGAGTCCCTCTTGCCCGCACAACCAGCTCTCCAGCCCCCCATCACCTGGACATCTCGGCCTCGGCATGAGGCGGCGGCAACCTGATGAGGTGAGAAGAGTACGGGGTTATGGGGTGGACCGGCGGGCCCAGGTGCGACGAGCTCACCGGCGTCGAACCAGGGAGCAGGGGTGGCGGCGAGCTGAGGTCGTGCGGCGAGGGCGGCGGCGATCTGGGGTCTACGTCGGAGGCGGAGGCGATGGGCGATCTATGCTTGCGACGGCAGCGGATCGAAGAAACCGGCGACCCGCAGCGCCACCGATGAGGCCGCCCCAGGGCTGCAGTGGCAGTGTTTGAAGGTTTCACAGGCGTCGGAGGCTATGGACGCGAGGGGGAGGGGGCGAACTGGGCTCGTGCGGCGGAGGCCCTGCAGCGCCATCGCCGTCGGGACTGCAGAAGCAACGGTAGGCTGCGGAAGCGCCGGACGAGGCGAGGGGAGGGGGGACGCGATGAGAGCTGGGCGCGTGAGGCGGGGCGGCGAGCTGAGCTGTCTCGGGGCGCGAGTGGGCGAAACCGCCTGCCTCCCCCCAATCTGGACTTTTGGAGATTGGAACGGAAAAAAAGAAACTTTTTTTTTCATCGGGAAAAAAACGGGAAGGATAAAGAAGAGGTGGGTGCGGCAGGAAAAAACACAGGGAGTCGAGGGACCGGGTGGGGTGGCTCGTGTGCGGTGATTTAGACTTATTATTCAGTACCCAGGGTAATATATATATATATATATACCCTCGGTCTAATCTAAGCCAGCCGCCGCCGTCGTCGCCGCCGCAACCTCGCCTTCCACGTAAGAAGAGCTGACCGCCAGCCGGAGGTTAGGAGGGGCGATGGAGAACGGGGGTGAGAGGAGCGCGATGGAGAAGTTACCAGCCACGGAGTGGATCATGTGTTCCACGTGCTCCGGTTTTGTGTGCAGGACGAGGCGCACAGCCGAGGTGGTGGAGGTGGTGAAGGAAGCCGGGAAGATGCGGGACTTGATGAAGGCGGTCCTGCTGCACGGGCCCCTCCAGGAGATAGAGCCAGCTGAGGCGACGAAGGAGCAGTGGAAGGTTCTGTAGAAGAGGAGGATGATTATGATGCAGACCAAGAAGTGCCCGACTTGCTCCGGTTCGCTGTTAGAGGCGTGCCCGACTAGCTCGATGGAGGAGGGCAGCGTGTTCATGGCTGTCCTTCTGTCGGAGGGCGGGATGGAGAGGAAGAAGATTGCGACGGAGGACGAGGCGATGGTGGCAGACGCCAGATCGGAGCAGAAGTTGAAGCAATCGAGGGAGGAGGGCAAGAGATCTAGCAGCGGATTGGAGGAGAAGAAGAAGGCGAAGAGCGAGGATAAGGAAGGCAGTGGATCAAAGAGGAAGAAGGCTAAGAGATCGAGCGAGGTATTTCTTTTATTTTCAGAGTAGCTTTCTTTGGAATCTTATTTCAAGTTCGATTAGAAGGAAATATTTATTTCAACAAGTTCCCCTTTTTTTAGCTAAACTGGTTGAATTCCAGGCAAAAAGGGGTACTCTTTGTATAACTACATTGTATAGTCTCGAAATGCTTTAAGCGGGAAATAGCTAGCGTAGAATTTGTCTGATATAGAACACTTATATCGATAAAATAGTTTGAACTATTTACTTAGAAGGGCACGCATCCTCTTTTAAATTGCTAAATCGGTGACCTATGTATAAAAAAGGAGTTTTTTTGGATTTGAAGAAAAATAAAAGGAATTCTATCTATTTTTATTTTCCATTTATTTACTTTGTTTTCCTTAATGAAATTGAAATTATTAACTAACAGATGGAGGGTAGTGGATCGAAGGAGGCAAAGATGAAGGGCAGCGAATTGAAGGAGGCGGCGGAGATTGAGGACATCATCAAATCAGACGGCGTAGATAGGAAGACTAAGATGGAGATTTTTTAGGTTCAAGAAGGCCTTCGAGAAGTTTGATCGATCAGCCCCCTGTCAAGTCTCAATGGGAGGAGGAGGCAAAGATGGAGGACAGCGAATCGGCTGTCGGAAATAGGAAGACTAAGATGGTGACTAAGAGGTTGGACAAGAAGTCCATTCATATTTTCAAGAATCAGCCCCCTCCCAAGCCCCTCATCGACAATTCGCTTTACGTGAACCAACACATGATTGATATTATTACTGCCCATGATGAGGTTGATCGTGTGTTCCTTGAGTACTTGCAATGCCATTCCTCCATCAAGGGGTATGCTGAGGTCCAGCTGGAGGTCACCGATGACGAAGGCGATGACCACAAGTTGGTGTAGCACTGTTGTCACTTGTGGTTGGTGTGGTAACGAGTTAAGGCTGCCTAGCATAATAATTATATTTTAGTATAAGTGATGAACCTGCGCTTGTATCAGAGATATTCAGCTTTGTTAGCTTGTACTAGTAGTATTTAAGTTGTAAAATTTAAGTGGTATCTTGTGTGTGTGACCTAGCAGCATGCTCATATTCACCCTGGTGTCAGTCATATGAGTACATACCTTGCTACTGATGTTATTCTCACATCTTAAGACTTAAGAGTTGCTATATTTTCCTAGAACTCGATTCAGATGTTATTTAAACGAGCTATTGTTGATGTCTCCAACCAGCCGCAGTTGTTATGGGTGATGATGTTTTTTTTCTGTATATTGTTGTTTCTTTTGTTAACCTTCTTTCCTGATTATAACAACCTCGTAGTGTCGTACTAGCTCCTGTATTTCTTTATTTCCCCTTTTTGGTGCTTTTTACGATTATTAAGAGGCCGTGTTGTTGGGCCGGAACGACGCGCAGAGGAGGTTGAGCGCCTGGGCTCAGCCGGTCGGTTGGATGGCAGGGAACGGCAGAGATAGAGCGATTGCCGTTTGCAGTCGCGAGGGTCCGTGAGGATCGACTGCAGAGGATATGTTTGGGGTGGTGGCCACTGGCCACAGGCCGGCGACCGGGTCGCCGCCGAGACGTGCGCTCCACCGCATTCTCCGGCGCCCCACTGCCGCTGCGTGCCTGCTCACCTGCTGCTGTGCGCCAACCTGCCAGGTGCATGCTTATTCTTGGAGCCGCATCGCATCGTTTTGCTTCCTTTCCTTGGGCCCAACCAAATGCTATATATGCTGGACAAGTGGGCATCGTAGCTGCTACCTGCTAGCAAGTAGCAACTAGCATGCTACTGCTGTACTGCATATTCACGTAACTCATCCTTATAGGTCATAGGCCTTGTTTAGATTGTCACCAAATTCCAAGTTTTTTCACTCTCTTTTCATCACATCAATTTTTAGACGCATGCATGAAACATTAAATATAGGTAAAAAAATAACTAATTACACAATTTAGTTATAAATCACGAGACGGATCTTTTGAGCCTAGTTCATTATCGGACAAAGTTTGTCAAATACAAACGAAACGTGCTACAGTGTCCAAGTTGAAAAAATTTGCAATCTAAATGATACCATAATCGTTTTTTTTTCTTGAAAGGGACGAGGATCGGCTGCCGCCTGCCGGCTGTCCTCAACTACTATAAACTATGCAGCAGGTGACGACAGTCGACACTCGACAGGGATCAGCTTCGTTCAGAGTTAGTCTTGACTGAAAGAAACACAGGGACTGAAGAAGTAGGATACGTCTACGTGACGTTAGCTTACACAGTCTTCTACCTATATTTACACTGTTTTAATACTATATTTATAATGATTTTTTTAGTGTAATATGTTGGACAGAGTGATCTAAGTTGGGAATAACACAAATATGTACCAAAATTTTCAAACAAATTTACAAATTATTTTTATGGATTTAAGACATCATAGAAATATATGTCAAATTGTTCACAAATTTAAAAAAATACAAAATCTTCACAAAATTTCGAAATGTGTTGTTGCCGCCACCGACGCCGAGGAAGGCGTAGCGTCCGGCATCGACTGGTACTCCGAGACATGGTACTGCCACATGGGTTGTTGCTGCTGCTGCGTCGGCATGAGTTGCTACAACTGCTTCATCATCATCGGCAACGAGGTCGCGGCGGGGAGGCCGGCGTGCGGGCCGTACCTCGGGCTGAGCATCCGACTGATCGAGCGGCAGTTCTCGGGCCGGAGTCAAGATTCAACGCTGGAAAATTCGGTTGTTAGTGACAAGTAAATCATGCTGTTGACGTATAGCGTTTCCAAAGAAGTATTCAGAAACTCTTTGCATGCATGCATGCATGGCCTATGGCCATTCCATTCAGAAGCTGAGACTGCTAGTGCGCGTAGATAGATCATTCTCAATTCTCACCGTCCTCTGCTGTCGTCGAGGCTTTTCAGTTTGGCATGCATCACATCTGGCCGGCACTTGTTTCTTCGAAGCATTTTCGGTGGATCACATTGTGCTCTCTGCTCTGTATGTGATAGGTTCAGAATTCATGATGATGTATACAGTGTGTGTGCTGACAATGGGGAGTGTGTGACATAGAAAGCCTATGCTATACTTATAACATACATGCTCCTAGATGGATTGGATGCCATCAACAGTACCAGAGGATTGCAATAATGCAACAAAGTGATCTGCTCTATCTCAAGATAGAGTACGCTCAGCTAGCATCAAATCTTAAGTGGAAATATATGAGTATCTGACACTGTTATCACGAAGCAAACTGAAGCGGGAATTCTATCGAAGTGGTACTAACACTGTGAAACCCTGTGTACAACTAATGATGATGGACGGAAGTAGATCAAAGCAGAGTAGAAACACAAATTACAAAAATATATATGTATGGCTTCTAAGTTCTGTGGACGATGGACTAAGATCAGTTCATCCCATGCTTGTTATTGGCAATTTTTCACCTTTTCAGCATCCAACTAATGCTTACATCCAACCATGAGCCACAGCCTGCTCGTCAGGGACTTGTTGCGCTCCGTCTTCGTTAGAGACTTGCTGCGCTCCGCCTTCCTCTTCTCCTTCTCGCACGCGGATTTCGTTTCTTTCAGTTTGTTCACCTTTTTCAAATCAAACGAAACAACAAGATCAGATTTTTCAACTTTTTGCTCGCCACTGGAATCCCTGATCAATGTGCGAAATCGATCAGAGAGGTTTTTTCTGTCGTCGTCGGCGGTGGATCGTCGGAGCGGAGCTCACCTTGATGGGTGGGTTGGGCTTGCTGATGCTGCTAATGCTGCTGGTGCTGCGGTGGAGCTGGCGCGCCCCCCGCTGCAGTATCTCCACGGCGCTCCAGCTCCCGCCGGCCGCCGCCGCGGGCTTGCTCTGCACCTTGCCGCGGCCGAACGCCTCACGAGCCGGGTCCACCACCGCCACCGGCGCGGAGTCGGACCACGTGGCGGGATCCTCGACCAGCGGCACGGACGAGGAGGATCCCAGCCCCAGCCCGAACTGGTGATGGAGGGCCTTGCCGGCGACACCGCCGCCGCCGTCCAGGCCCAGCTCGCAGCTGACCTGCCTGATGCGGGACTCCAGCAGGTTGAGGCGGTCCATGAGGTCGCCCTGCACCTGCACGTGCTGCAGCGCCGCCGGCATGGACTTGGTGTGCTGGTGCTGCGCCGCCGCGCGGCGGGCCGGGGCGAGCGCGCCGTGCTCGGCGTGCGACGGGCGGCGCTGCTGCTGCTCCTCCAGCTGCCGCAGCTGCACGAAAACACCACACGGATGGAGGCATCAATTAATGTGCTCGCGTCATCGGCGTGCATGGACGATGTATACAATACAAACGTCCATGCGCGCGGCCGGATGACCGGCCGGCCATCACCCATCAGCAACTACACGACGACGTACGTACCCGGAGGTCGATCTGGTCGAGGCGGCCGAGCAGCAGGCTCTCTGCAGGCTGCGGGGGGAGGCCGTACCCGTATCCGCTGATGAGGACGCGGCGCTGCGAGTCCACCAGCACGTCCGCCATGACGGACGACGGCTCGCGGCGCGCAGGGGCTGCTAGCTACTGCGACGCGTGGTTTATGTGACGGTGACGCTGCCTGCTGCGGCTGCAAGGACGACGCGCGTGCCATCGTCAGTTATAAAGGCACGGTGGTGAGGACTGAGGAGCGGCGCAAGATGATCGGGGCGGCGATCGAGGAGCATGCAGCGTCATGGCGACGACGGGGTGGGGTGCAGCGGAGGCCGGCTTGGTCGGAGCCGAGATCGGGTCGTAGACTTGGCCGAGTCCAACAACGTGAGGTGTGGTGTGGTGTGGTCGTCTCGTTCTCGATCCTGTTTACCGGGCCGGATGACTGGACGAGCTGTAGGTGAAGCCCAGGAGTAGGAATAGGATGTGTGTTCGTGGCATAGAGAGACGGCCCATCCTCAAGAATGTGGCTCATATAGTTCAATGACTCAAATAATAGGCCTGCTTGGTTGTCTTCCAATCGTAACAGGCCGGTGGTGTTCTTTTCTCACTTTGCTGAGCACCGAAGGAATGCGAAATATAAAGTTCTTTACAACAAAAAGTATAACTTCTAGAATCTACAATAATTAGAGATACAGATAGACATTAAACTCATAATCCTCTAACCAGGTAGACACTACTCCCTAGCTATTTCAAAATTCTAACTTTGTTATTTTAATTAGCCTAACTTATAAAGAGTTTACAGTACAAAAGGTGTTATGTTTGATTTGGATTTAGAAATGATTCCTAATTAATGCTCAAACTTTTGTTGCTACAAATTATATACTTGCCATAGATTTATATACTATAAACCTATGTACCATATTTATCTTAGACCAGTCTCAGTGGGAAGTTTCATAGCACAGTTACCAAGAATGCCACATCAGCTTTTGCGTTGGTAGCTGTGCTAGCGGGTTTTATCCTGATGAAACTCCATGAAACTCTCTCTATCTCTCTCTTCACAATTAGCCTGCCAAGTCATCAAATTTGTTGACATGTCACAATATTAATGCAAATGAAACTCAGATGAAACTCCCACTAAAACTGGCCTTAGTGCCATCCCCAATCAGGTTTTCGATGTTAATAATGGTATCTCATCAAAATTGAGCACATTTCTCTGATGTTCTCCTGGCCATACTCATCTATCATTCGGTGTTAGAGCAATTCCTCACATAACCCTTGTGTCTCAGCTAATCGCCATCAAGCTCGACCGCTAGAGCTCACCGGCTTATTGTCACTCCTCACTTGAGTTAACAAACCTGACAGAGGTTTAGTTGGAAAGTGAATCAACTTTTGGTTCATATCTATATCTGAATGTAATTAATGATAATGCAAAGATATAAGTTAAAGAATCATCAACAGTAATGCAATTAAAGTTTTTCTTCTCTATTTAACTCCAGTGTTGATGAACGAATCATCTATGATATG